TGGATCGTTCCAAGTAGGTGCACGTCACTCACTGACAGAGGCTCCGATTTTCACTCAAATTTATACAGAGCCACTGCGCATTTTAAATTGACATTTGGAGGATTGTCTTTAGTTGTTTATAATAACAGTCTGTGAACGAGGATGACAAAACGGCGGATAATTATGACTTATTCGGACGAAAATACCACGTGACACAGAAACCCGCAATTGCATAATGGTTAGATGATACAAATGTCAATAGTTGTGACTTGGGATCGGAATGTCAATTATGTTACTAAAAGAAACGCTTAGTTCGTGTAATTGATTATATAACTAAAAATAGTGTTATAAAAATGTAACATATATTCGTTGGAAATAAAAGTGTCATTGCTTGTTACCGACCAAAAACACAAATGTCTGTTTCAGACCACTGTGAAGATCTGTCAACGTGTTTGCGCCGTTTGAGTGTGTACAGGGCTATCTCGAGTCCAGCATACATGAGTTTGAGCAGTGACGACCCAATGCATGAGGCGTTCGTACTTGCCGATGAGCTTCACAAACTCTCCAAGTCCAATGGAATATATGATATTTGTAAGGTAGGATATAATTCAACAATAGTTATCAGGACGTGACGAGTGTGTGATGCTGGTTGAGTGTGATTATACTCGCTTTGCAATGCTGGCGGTCCTATGAATCATTTGTAGAACGGGATAGACCAATATTAAGCGCACACCCTCTTCATATCACATGTAAATCGATGCCTAATAGCAGCGTAGCGGGACGCGCGGACACGTTTCAGCCCACAAAAAAATTGACAAATCAATTGACAAACCCAGCCCAATTAAATAGGAGCGCCCCCTTACCAAATTTCTGGATCCGCCAGTGTCACGTGTAATTTTCTCTAACATAGGGTCAATACCGACAGCTGGAAAATCAGGTGGCCAGATTTGCACATGCGCTATTGGATAACTGCATGACAACGAACGAAGTAGTCACATTGCTACACGGATCCCATCATACTGCAAAGACAAGAGGTACAAAATGCTGGGCTACTGCATTACTAGCCATAGAAACAGAACAAAAAGAGGTGCGTATATTATTTAAAATATCGCTATTATATTCTCCCTTACCACTACCCCGAGTATTAATACCATAGCATTCAATTTGGAATAAAATTCCTTGCATATAACTCCTTACATGACACCATTAAAAAAAACATGTTATGTAAGTTGGTCAGCCGTTACCACGCCGACATCACACAGGTGAAAAATAAGTGGTGTGCAGATTGTTATGACAACCTTCTCACTTTCAGTTAAATATTACTAAAATGATATTACGTTGTTTGGTTTATTGATGGATCCTCATTATGCAAACTCACAACTTAATTTTGCGGGTTTCTTCTAACATAAACATGTGTTTTTCGTATACCCCTCACAGTTCATCGCCAATTCGAAATGCCAGCAAGTGTTACGCAGCGAATGGTTGCGTGGTCAGCCCAAATGGTCGCAGAGGAACGGAATTCTCTGGAGCTTGCTGTATATTCTGTATTGTTTAGTGGTGTATTTTGCACTGCAGCCGTTTCTATTTATGGTTTACGTCGCAGCACCATGTTCCCCTATCTCGGTGATAGTTACATCGCCGAAGGCTCGTTTTGTGATGTATCTGGTATCGTACACGATGTTTGTTATTCTGTTTGCATTCACTGGGGTCATTCACCTGTTGGTCAAAGGAGGAGCGATCAACTATCTCTACCTGTTCTGCGCTTTGTTGGTGTGGTTGTTTGGGATGCTGTGGCGAGAGGTGCAGCAACGCATCTATCACGGAGTTCTAAAATATTCGGCCGATTTGTGGAATATCCTGGACGTGTTCATCACCACGTCGTTACTCGCCTTATTACTTGCACAACTTTACAGCGAGATGCGCGGGCTCGACACTCAGAACGAGACGTGGACGACACTATTTCAACTCGCCGCTTTCGTACTGGTCTTGTCATTTCTGCGGTTTATGCAGAACTTCTATCTCAGTACCACCGTGGGGAACATGCTTCTCACGTTCATTTCAATGAAAACAGACGTCACTCGTTTTCTGTTCCTTTTTGGGTTTGTCGTCTGCTCGTTCACCATTGGGTTCTTCTACCTCTACTCAGACGCGCAGTCGCCGCATAAATTTAATTCGTAAGTGATACAGTATTATTCCGCGATCTGTTCTATCGAACAAATGTCGATGATTTGCAAATTGTAATCTTTGTGGCGAAATTTCATTTATAGAAGGAGTGGGTCTCACTGGAGCATAACGGTATGTAATTTGATTAGAAGAGCGACATTTAAAGTTATAGTCCCGCTTTGTATGATATGTAGATTCTTCTCAATGAAATGTTATCAAATAAAATCCTAAAATGTAAATTATAGGTCCCACTAATGTCAAGTGACTGTGAATGATTACAACAATAAAAATTATATTTGATTAGTCAAGCTTCCATGCTTCAAATCATAATAAAACCAATTAATACGCCTCTATGTAAAACTGATGAACTATATAGTACACGGGGGATTATTATTAATCATTTTTTTAAAGCGTGCCATATTCGGTTTGAGTACGTCGTCAGCCATGGTAGGCTCGTTCGAAAAATGGCTCGCATGGTCACCGCCCAGTACATACAAACATAGAGACAAAACAACTTTTTCAGGATTTCGTGGTGTTTCACAAATGTCATGCATTTTTTGATAGATATGCTATGATAATATGATCTTTACTTTCATTTCCGCAGTTTAGGCTCAAGTGTGGTTCAGTTAATATTCTCCATATTCGGCAAAGACAGCACGTCCTCTATGTCAGCCACAGTGATGGTCAAACTAGCCAGCGACGACGTTGAGAACACTCAATACAACGCCTCCAACGTTGATAATGGAAACTTCAGTGCGTTACTGACTGACAACGCCATGCATTACATCACGCGTGATGTTGACAACGCCACGCATTACATCACGCGTGATTTTGGTTACATATATAGTGCCATGGGTCTGACGTTGTATGCTTTGTTTTGTTTTCTGGTTATGTTGGTGTTACTCAACCTGTGCATAGCGATGATGTCAGACACGTACACGAGGATAAAGGTGAACATGTATTTTCCCCCCATGTCCCATCGTTAATACACCACTGCGCATGCGTTAATCGCAGAATATAGTTATAATCTGTGAAGAATTTATATACTATATAGAGTCAATTCCGCAAACACACAACTTCCAAACGAACACCGTTATGTTTAGTTGGTTTACATCTGTAATTATAGTCTTTCTCAAAGAGGAAATGCTATTTGAGTATTTCGATATTTGATTTTGCTACCTCATTCGGTCGGTCGGTCGTTCGTGTTATACACATGAAATTATAATACGAGGCCTTATACAATATCATTGAAATATTATAATATAAAGCGCAAATGTTATTGCACTCGGGTTATCATGTACGTACAGGCAAACAAAAACGCATGCTTATTGCCGTTTGCGTTATTTCATCCAGCGTATACTGTCGTCACAAGGTTTACTGAGTTCTAAAACAATTTTTATTTTCCATAATACCCCATTGATCAAGGTGAAATATCAAACAAACGTATTTAACATGTTGAAAAATTTGACCTCTTTAAAGAATAAAAGGTGTGAAACGTTTAGTAATAGATTATACAACAATATTACAAATAAATACCTCTACAGATTTGAAGTTTTCATCATTGTTATTTTTATTCCAGAGATTACGCTTGGTTGGTGTTAAATGACATTATACAACACTCTTTTTGACAGGAGAACATCGACGTCGAATGGAAATATGTTCGTAGTAGTATTTGGTTGGATTATTTCATTGGACCTGTGTTTCCGCCGCCATTAAACCTGCTTCCTACGCCGCACGCCATTAAGGAAGCAGTTACTTCATTTTATCGTTGTCTTTGTTTCAAGGAATGCAAGACAAGCAAGAGTAAAGATTTAGAGGTGAGAATTAGCGGGTTAACAATTGGTTTCGCAGGTATAAACACTACCAACCAAAGCTGTTTGTGGTCTTTCCGAAAGACGTTACGACGTCACGGTACTTCATCGACTCTGAGACCAATCTCCGCCGTGGGTAAACGCGTTAGAAAGTATTTTTCTTTATTGAACGTTGGTGTAGAAATGGATTGACGTAGAAATAGCGAGGTTGGTTCAAATCGATGTGTCCGAGCGTCTTTGCTTGGCATTACAAGAAATCTTTTAAAAAATGTGTCAGTATTCTGATACAAAACACCGTGAATTACAACGCTGTAGTTTCATTTTCATACCGTTATGTAACAGTAGACCACAAGATGGCGCAACTAAAAGTTTCAAAGTAGCATGCAGAAAATACTGAGTGAACGGTTCTATCGAATAAAAATATGAATGAAAATGACAAATAGTATTCAATTCTTTCTCTGCCTCCATAAAATAAAGTGTAATTTTCTCGACAGATGAGAGGGTCATACGATGCAGCGAACACGTTGGACTATGAAGAGGTACGCTATATTATTCCTGTACTAAAATATAAAAAGCTCCCACATTTATTGATATCCTCGGGGGCGGAGCTACGTCACGGACGTTCTACGTTGCTAAGACGCGCGCCACTGTACCACGTGTTTCTATGGGCTCTGTGCGCGCTCCTGTGGAACGCCGGTCCAGCCGGTGAAAATTC